TGCCCCACGCAGACCAGCACCCGGTTCGGCAGCACGTTCACCGCCCTGGGGATGAGCGGGAGTGCTGAGCTGGGACAGCCACAACCTTGCCAGCCCATCCCTGCGGCATCAGGCCCATCATGTCCCCTATGCATCCCTGAGCCTCCCCTCATCCCAGCCCAGCCCTCTCTGACCTAATGACTCCATCCAGGGACCCCGTGCACACGATGTTCTCCGTGATGGGCACCATGCAGTCGATGGACTCAGCCCTCAAGGCAAAGCGGTCACTGGCGGCACCGAAGCCATCCCAGTTGAAGAGGTAGATTGTCACCTAGCTGGAGCCACAAGCCACTTTCTTCCCTCTCTGAGCACAGTAGAGGAACATAGGGTGGAGACTAGGGACATGGAGATCAAGCCATGGGGCTGTGGCCCTCAGGACACAGGACCTACCTTGAGGAGCACAACAGACGTCAGGTCCCCGTTCTGTGGCTCCGAGAGCAGCTCGAAGCGCCGCCTCTTGATGTTGAAGACACCCAAAGTGCCATCGCCGCTGCAGGAGACAGAGTGGGAGCCTCCTGGGTGGCAGGTGTAGACAACAGGAGCCCTGGCACAGGGAAAGGGCTAACAGGAGCGCAGGGAGCCCACCCGGGCCCGGCGGTACCTGGCCGTGAGCAGGAGCTTCCCGTTCGCATCCACTGCCATGGCGCTGATGTACTCCTCATGCTCCCGCGCCTCCAGGACCGGGGCTCCCTTCCGCACATCCCACACCTTGAGCGCGCCGCCCTCGTCGCCCGTTGCGAAGACGTGATCGGTGATGGGCAGCACACAGTTGAGGGCCGCACTGCGGAGAACAGCCTGGTCGTGCAGGGTCGCCGGGATGAGCCCTCCCTCCCTGGGGGACGCGGTGGCCCATGGCGCAAACGCACCTGTGAGCCTTGGCGAAGCGCGTCTCCAGGCGGCCCTCCTCCACCGTCAGCACGTGGATGGACTTGTCCTTGGACACCGTGAAGAGCTCTGAAGGGGCCGGTGCCTGGGTCACCTGGGTCCCCTGGGGCTCCCACGGGCGCCCTGCGGCGCTGTGCACTCACTGTGCCCGTCCAGCGAGAAGGCCACATCCCGGCACGATTTGAGGTGGTGGCCCGAGGACCAGAGCTCCCGGGTGTCCCCCTCCATGCACGAGTATGAGAACCTGCGAGCAGCGCGTTACCACTCAGGAGGGCCGGCCCGCGTCGAGGAA